GAACAACAGAACACGCTTAGCAGCATGTCCGAACAACAGACCACGCTTAGCAACATGTCCGAAAAACAGACCACGCTTAGCAACATTCCGGACCAACAGGCTATGTTAAGAAATATGCCGGGCCAGCAGAACACGCTAGACAAACCAGACATACGGAAACCACAAGGCAACAAACCAGACATACGGAAATCACAAGGCAACAAATCAGACATACGGAAATCACAAGGCAACAAATCAGACATACGGAAACCACAAGACAACAAACCGGACCTACGGAAACCACAAGGCGACAAACAAGACATACGGAAACAGCAAGGTAACAAATCCGACATACGGAAACCGCAAGACAACAAACAAGACATACGGAAAACGCCGAGCAGCAAAATGAACCTACAGGACACAAGACCTAGACCTAACAATGAGGAAAACGAGACCTTAACTGGCAGGGAACTGAAGGTCATTCAACAGGTGGTGCTTATCTCTGTTGTGTACATCATCTGCAACACGCCAACCATCCTCATCAACTTCACAGGCTTACTTGTGCCAGATTTTTACATCGAGACGGATTACCGGAATCTATACTTGACGGTAACCGGAAGTAAGCATTTACTGCAAGCTTTCCACTGCAGCATCAACGTGTTTATCTACTTCCACTACAATTCAAAGTTCAGACAAATACTTCTTCATTAAAGCATAGACAAATACTTCTTCATTAAAGTTCAGACAAATACTTCTTCATTAAAGTTCAGACAAATACTTCTTCATTAAAGTTCAGACAAATACTTCTTCATTAAAGTTCAGACAAATACTTCTTCATTAAAGTTCAGACAAATACTTCTTCATTAAAGTTCAGACAAATACTTCTTCATTAAACTTCAGACAAATACTTCTTCATTAAAGTTCAGACAAATACTTCTTCATTAAAGTTCAGACAAATACTTCTTCGTTAAAGTTCAGACAAATACTTCTTCATAAAAGACAGCAAGATATTGTATTAAAGCTGGCTAATACTTCATTGAAACCATCAACATACTGCATTAAAGCCAGCTGGATACTACATTAAAGTCAGCAAGATACTTCATTCAAGGCAGTATGATAGTATATTGAAACTATCAAGATACTTCATTAAAGACAGCAAGATACTTAGGTCAACAACATACTTCATTAAAGAATAGCAAAATACTTATTTAAAACCAGCAAGATACTTCAATAACTGCCAGCAAAAGACTTTAATCAAATAAGCAAGATATGCCTTTTAATAATGCAATGAATTTTTCTATTTTTTATTACACCATTAATTTTATTAGCTTTAATTTAAATGTATAGAAATGTAAAATATTTTATACACGTTTTAATAAATGTCAGCTTTATTTGATTTGTTTGGAATCTTTGTGCGACAGATGAATAGATTAAGTGAATGTCAATGAGAATGTCCTGGTATAAAAAAGGTACCTGAAGAGATTAAGGGAATGTGTTGTTTAAAACTACTGTTGTTGTACAAGCCCCCTAGATTAAGGGAATATGTTGTTAAAGCTACGGTTGTTGTACAAGCCCCTAGATTAAGGAAAAGTGTTGTTAAAGCTACTGTTGTTGTACAAGCCCCTAGATTAACAGAATGTGTTGCTAAAGCTACTGTTGTTGTACAAGCCCCTAGATTAAGGGAATGTGTTGTTAAAGCTACGGTTGTTGTACAAGCCCCTAGATTAAGGAAAAGTGTTGTTAAAGCTACGGTTGTTGTACAAGCCCCTAGATTAAGGAAATATGTTGTTAAAGCTACTGTTGTTGTACACATCCCTGGATTAAGGGAATGTATTGTTAAAGCTACGGTTGTTGTACAAGCCCCTAGATTAAGGGAACATGTTGTTAAAGCTACTGTTGTTGTACAAGTCCCTGGATTAAGGGAATGTGTTGTTAAAGCTACGGTTGTTGTACAAGCCCCTAGATTAAGGGAATATGTTGTTAAAGCTACTGTTGTTGTACAAGTCCCTGGATTAAGGGAATGTGTTGTTAAAGCTACGGTTGTTGTACAAGCCCCTAGATTAAGGGAATATGTTGTTAAAGCTACGGTTGTTGTACAAGCCCCTAGATTAAGGGAATGTGTTGTTAAAGCTACAGTTGTTGTACAAGCCCCTAGATTAACATAATGTGTTGTTAAAGCTACAGTTGTTGTACAAGCCCCTAGATTAAGGGAATGTGTTGTAAACGCTACGGTTGTTGTACAAGCCCCTAGATTAAGGAAAAGTGTTGTTAAAGCTACGGTTGTTGTACAAGCCCCTAGATTAAGGAAATATGTTGTTAAAGCTACTGTTGTTGTACACATCCCTGGATTAAGGGAATGTATTGTTAAAGCTACGGTTGTTGTACAAGCCCCTAGATTAAGGGAATATGTTGTTAAAGCTACTGTTGTTGTACAAGTCCCTGGATTAAGGGAATGTGTTGTTAAAGCTACGGTTGTTGTACAAGCCCCTAGATTAAGGGAATGTGTTGTTAAAGCTACTGTTGTTGTACAAGTCCCTGGATTAAGGGAATGTGTTGTTAAAGCTACGGTTGTTGTACAAGCCCCTAGATTAAGGGAATATGTTGTTAAAGCTACGGTTGTTGTACAAGCCCCTAGATTAAGGGAATGTGTTGTTAAATCTACAGTTATTGTACAAGCCCCTAGATTAACAGAATGTGTTGTTAAAGCTACAGTTGTTGTACAAGCCCCTAGATTAAGGGAATGTGTTGTTAAAGCTACGGTTGTTGTACAAGCCCCTAGATTAAGGAAAAGTGTTGTTAAAGCTACGGTTGTTGTACAAGCCCCTAGATTAAGGAAATATGTTGTTAAAGCTACTGTTGTTGTACACATCCCTGGATTAAGGGAATGTATTGTTAAAGCTACGGTTGTTGTACAAGCCCCTAGATTAAGGGAATATGTTGTTAAAGCTACTGTTGTTGTACAAGTCCCTGGATTAAGGGAATGTGTTGTTAAAGCTACGGTTGTTGTACAAGCCCCTAGATTAAGGGAATATGTTGTTAAAGCTACTGTTGTTGTACAAGTCCCTGGATTAAGGGAATGTGTTGTTAAAGCTACGGTTGTTGTACAAGCCCCTAGATTAAGGGAATATGTTGTTAAAGCTACGGTTGTTGTACAAGCCCCTAGATTAAGGGAATGTGTTGTTAAAGCTACAGTTGTTGTACAAGCCCCTAGATTAACAGAATGTGTTGTTAAAGCTACAGTTGTTGTACAAGCCCCTAGATTAAGGGAATGTGTTGTTAAAGCTACGGTTGTTGTACAAGCCCCTAGATTAAGGAAAAGTGTTGTTAAAGCTACGGTTGTTGTACAAGCCCCTAGATTAAGGAAATATGTTGTTAAAGCTACTGTTGTTGTACACATCCCTGGATTAAGGGAATGTATTGTTAAAGCTACGGTTGTTGTACAAGCCCCTAGATTAAGGGAATATGTTGTTAAAGCTACTGTTGTTGTACAAGTCCCTGGATTAAGGGAATGTGTTGTTAAAGCTACGGTTGTTGTACAAGCCCCTAGATTAAGGGAATATGTTGTTAAAGCTACTGTTGTTGTACAAGTCCCTGGATTAAGGGAATGTGTTGTTAAAGCTACGGTTGTTGTACAAGCCCCTAGATTAAGGGAATGTGTTGTTAAAGCTACGGTTGTTGTACAAGCCCCATGACCTGTTTCCATTATTAGGTTGAAAGGTTAATTGTGATGACGCAAGTTTAGGTTATAGAGGTCAAGTAGTAAGATAGATAGTGTGTTGGTGTAATAGATTAGTAGCAGACGCTAAAAATATACTTTTGTCAGCTACAGAAAGGGAGGTAGATATGTGATGACGCAAGTTTAGGTTATACGGGTGAAGTAGAAGATAACAGAAACAGAGCATAGCGTAGTTAGGTAGACCAATAGAAATACAGGAGCTGACCGGTCACGTGAGACGGTCAGATGACCAGTGAAGCGTGGGTCAGCAGTTAGGTAGGAGTTGGACAGAGATAGCGCTAGGGGAAAGACGTAGAAGTTGAAATTAAATGTAGTGTTGGAGTTGGTCATGGAAGTGCTAGTTGTACTTAGATAGTGTTAGTAGACAGATCTTACGACGTAGTTTGGGTAGGAGTAGGAGATTTATGTTGAATAAAGAAACATTAAAGAATATCTTGAATTAGACTTGTGTTAATTTCAATAAACTGTACATACGTAATAATTGGCGATCCCCGTAGAGAGTATACATATATAGAATAGAAACTTTCAACACCACCCTTACAACTGGTGGTTCATCTTTACCCCGCCCTCACAGTAATGCAATACCGACTTGATGTTTTATTTCTGCCGATTTCGGCTCAGTTTTATAATTTGTTTTTATTCTAAGGGTTAATGTTAGAGACTTCTTGTCAGGGTTAGGGTTTTGGCTAACGGATAAAACTCGGGTTAGAGTCTGGGTCCGTTTTAGAAAAGGGTTTATGATGAGGCTATGAACATGAATGAGTTTTAAAAGTCTTTGTAAGAGGTTTTTGTAGTCTGTAAACCAGAGGTGTGTGTCGCTTCAGATTTGGGTGGCTAAAGCGTGTCTTGGCTTAAAAATTATTCTAGGCTCAACAGATTTTTACTACGATGTAGTAAATGCATTACTCCGACTTCTTGTTATTTGGTTAGGCCATGAGTTATCGAGACCTGTTACGTGAAGTTATGCAAGAATTGATCAGCTGATCTTGTCTCATGTCACGCTTACATTTACGTTCTGTACATTCTTATAATGAGGGTAAAATGAAGAAGCAGAAAAACCATTGACATCGATCGTCTTATTCAACTATCTAAAGTCTCATACTTTTTTTTAAGTTCTTATGATTTCACATAAAATAAACCTACCATTTTCTCCGTAATTCAAAGGTAAATAGGATTTAGAAAATCAGGAACGTTCCGAGTTATGTCTTTGATAAAGTTGCTGTTTTAATTATCCATCTTTTTGCAGATTGACTGACTAACCCATATCTAAGAACCGTTCTTAGCCATGGCATCACTGCTACAGAACTGCACGGACATCGAGATGCATCAAGAACTCCTCTCAGGCCAAGATTACTTACTCTCTGAAGGTGTCTGTTGCATCTTCACCATCTTCGCCTCAACTTTAGGCATCCTAGGCAATGCCGTCAACATTCATGTGTTCCTCTCTATAGGTCTCAAAGACGGTCTCATGTTCTGTCTGTTGCTTTTGTCCTGTTTCGACCTGGCCTATCTTGTGACTGTCGCTTGGCGTTATGTTTCTTTTGTTATGTTCGCCGTTGAAAAAGTATCAAAGTACGGCTTTTGGTTTCCTGTGGAGCCGTATGGAATGTACGTCTTCGCTGGTCACGTCTCGAGAATTCCTTACACCGCTTCCATCTTAACCACGACGCTTCTCGCCGTCTTAAGATGCGCCAGTGTTTCAATGCCGATACGATTCAAATATTCCTTCAACGCTAATTTCTTCAAAGCGTGTGTTTTAACGTCGGCGATTTTCGCTTTTGCGAGTTGTCTTCCCGTGCTGGTTTTGATGGGGATGGTGATGGAGTACGACAGCAATGTAAACAGTTCCAGACCGGTCTTGTGGATATCTCCACATCGCGAGGAAGTCGCTAATATAGTCTGGAGTCTCAGAGACGCGTTTATCCCCCTTGCTACCCAAGCTGTTGTCGTTGTTTGCGTCGTAGTCATGTCACGCTATCTCCGAGCTTCTGCAACATTTCGCCATATCAACGCTGGTCATCCCAACATTAAAACAACGACAACAGCAAACTCTCAACCCGGAGACCAACACACCTCAACAAAATTAGGTGGTAAAGAGCTGCAGGTTCTAAAACAGGTGGTGCTCATCTGTGTGGTGTACATCGCCTGCAACACGCCGACCATCTTCTTCAACTTCACCGGACTCTTTGTGTCCGGCTTCACCGTTCAGACGTCGTTCAACAACGTCTTTCTGCTGACGATGGGAGTTAAGCACGTCTATCAGTCCTTTCACGCCAGTGTTAACTTTTTCATCTACTATCATTACAACTCTAAGTTTAGACACGTTTTTCTTAAGAAATACCCAATCAAAATATAATTATTCTTAAAAAAATACTATTGCAATATTTCAAAGGCCAAATGTTTAGCGAAAAGTAAGATTGCAACAGTGGCGTCGCTAGGTCGGGTGTCACCCAATGCAGTACGTACTCCCCCCCAAGGAAACAAAGTATATGTGTGTGTGTGTGTGTGTTTGTATTTCGGCATTTCATTTAAACATATAGCGCACGCGCGCACATGTATGTGTAAGCTTTAATCATTACAGACTTAATACAAACGATGTTTATCTATAGTTTGCACGTTTAAGTCATGGTTTCACCCTCCCCCCCCCCCCTTGTAATAATTGTCGATTTGTAATTAAAGTTTAACGTCAATAAATCATTAATGGAACTGAAAAAAGTATTTGATAATTTTTTTTTGCCAAGTATCGTTTACAAATTAAGTGTCACACTTCCTTTATATTTGTACTATCATGCATTGGAACATTTTCTTTCGTAAATCAAAGTTGCATTGAAAACTCAGGTGAGTCGAGTGAACCACGTCAACTGACGCTATACAGTAAATAATTAGCCAGCCGCTATGCCACTGTGGAATACACAACTCCAAACCAAAAACATGTTGATACAAATCTGTTTTATTATACGCAAAATTTAATGGTCATTTATTAAACAATGAATATCTTTTTTGAAATATACATTGTTAAAAGAAGATCAAAACATCTAGGCCTATAGCAAAGTAAGAAAAAATTCTACATCCAATTATTGTAAATTTGTATTTGAAGATAAAAATATTAAGATATCACCGTTATTCGTGAGTTTTTTTATGAAAATGAATTAATCGCATCAATGAATCGTAATCAAATTAAGTTTATAATTAATTTCGTTAATTATACTGTTGATTTAAACAGTATAGGGAGTATAGTTTTTTTAGCACAAAAATATTTTTAAAAAGAAGCCAAGCACAAAAACTGTAATTAATGCCACAATGCTGACTAGCAGTTTTTTTTTATCTACTCGTTACAACAAATAATGTAATGGAATAGGGTGGGGGAGTATGATTACATTATTTTTATCTATTGGTTACCAATAATTATGAAAGAAATATTTCTAAAATGTGTTACTTGACTACGTAAAAAGGCAATTCTCTTGATGACCTGTAACATTACAATGAGACAGATCCCGAGACTTATATTTTAAAGTTACGGAATCGCCTATGCAGTGAAAACAAAACGTACTTACAAAGACACTATTTTTTCCTTTAAAAAATATTTTTGACTTTTTAAGGTGTTGAAATAACACTAAAATTAAATATTGTATCTCCCCTGTTTTAAATTTTTCATTTTTTTCTACTAAAAATTCAAACATTTTGCCAAAATTGTATCTTTAAAGAAAAAAATTACTTCAAGCCTAGAATAATTATTAAAGCAAAGCAAATGCTAAGTATATACAAGTATGAAGATCTCAAGTATGAAGATCTGTTGAACTTTGTTCCCACTGATCCATTGTTTGCTCGTGTTCGAGCGTCTGCCTGGTGGAGGTATCCTGTCTCATTGACGAACACCTTCCACACCCGAACATTCGCGCCATGTTTGCCAGTAAAATCCATGGTACGACTGCTGAACAGATGCAGGCGATTGGACACGAACCACAACCATCCGTCGTCGTCAAAAGCGAAAGTATCCGGCCACTGCATTCTCTCGACGTCCTCCACGACCTTGACCTGAGTCTTCATCATGACCTTGTCGATGGATGAGTTCTGATCCCGGATGTCGGTGAGAGAGTCCCAGAAGTAGACGGCGCTGAGTCCCAGCATGCCGAAGTACAAGCGCCTGTTTCCGTGGGCGAGCCCGTCGGTTTGGGTCAGTTTGCGACCTACGAGCCGGGGTCCAGTGGTGGGACCAAACGTCCCAGCTCTGAGACTTGAAGTCGGGACCTGGTACAGGTTGTATCCACCTAGCGGGCAGTAGTAGACGTACTCAAAGTCCGGACACATAGCAATCCCATCCAGACCACCGTTGAATGTATAATCCGTGTTGTTGATACGGATGACAGTGCCGTTGGTGGAAAATTCAGGTTTCATGGATGGATCTTCTAAATTGTAACCCTTTCGCGATTTAAAATCGTATACGTGTAATCTACTTTCGATGACGTCAGTGATATATGCGTACCTCACAACACCATCGACGTAATCTAGAACGATGTCGTTCAAAAAACTGTTATTTCTACTCACGACTTCCTCGTCTAGTTCATAGCTGTCGATTTTCGTATCGCTGTTCAAATCGTACACGACGATCTTCGCCGGGCATACATTTAAAACCGGTTCCTGACCGGACAGGCCGACCCGACCGGCATCGATGACGTACATGCGACCCGTGTTCGGGTCAATCTCCATGCTCTGGACGTACTGCAGTGCCCGGCAGTCCCCTTGTTTTTGGGATGCCCAGTCCGGGTACGGCCTCAGTTTGGGTTCGCCGTTGACCTTAACAACTTTCAGCAATGTGGCCGGCTGTCCGGAAGTGTACCTCCATCTTGGAATCGTTAGATAAACTTCACCTTTGTACAGCTGAAATAGAAATTATTTTTAAAAGTATTTATGAAAAACACCGAAAAGCCTTCTTGCTTATGTACTAATTTCAAACATTTAAAATATTTTTTACTCTTTTTTTTACATTGATTTTTACTTCATGATTAATTTCCCCTAGGCTATTTATTACGATACTTACTCTACTTAAAAACTTGATACAATTGATAAAACGTCAAGTTAAGCTTCTAAAACTTAAACTTTTAGATCTGTTTGTTAATAAAACAAACAAGAAACGGCAAATGACGTTTTACTGACACAAGACAGGGGTTTACTAACAAAATACCCTTAATTATTTGTAAGCGGTGCGCTGATTCAAATGGCAGATCATGTTAACGAAATACTAAAGTGTATTTTTCATAGAAGTTATGGAGACAAAGTATAAACGTTTCTTTAGTAACTCACAGTTTTGCTACTTATGGTAATTGTAATCAACTCAAACCTTGAACCATTGTGAAGGTTGATAGGTAGGCCTATCTCCTATTAATGTGAGCATAACGATTGCAGATTATTTTCTTTAATTGATATTAAAAATTTAATTTAATAAGATCGCCTTGATTGTTGAACTGGTTTATTTGATAAAGATTTCCTTTCAAAATTGTATTCAATATATGGTCTGCTAAATTGTGTAAAAAAAAGTAACTGCGAATAGCACCCTCTTACTTTCACAAATATTTTATAAATTGTATGCAAATATACAAAGCATTGCATTACACTGCACCATTTGTTTTAAATATACATTATAGGAATAATTTTATGTACATATCATAATCTTGTGTATTTAAAATTTATAATTTTGATATTCAATTATTAATTTAATATTGTTTAGTAATCTTCTAATTTTGAAAAATAATTAAAATTACTTTACAACAAATATTTATTGGTGTTTACCACAAAGATTTTAAAACCTCATAATAACCAAGGTAGGTAACCAAGAAATATGTTAACAAAATAACTAAGGTAGGTAACCACTAAATATGTTCACAAAAGTAGTAATTATTCCAAATTGTTAAATAGTAGCTAGAAAAAAAATGCGATTATAATTATTTTAATACTGTTTAGTATAATTATGGTATTATTTAATGACTAAATGTCCAATAGTTTGTGTTATAGAATTTTAAAATTATTCTATGCCTGTAGTATAATCTAATAAATATTACCTGTATTAGATTCTCAATTTATAGACATTTGAAAACAGAAAACATAATTATGCTATATAATCCTTAAATTGGATCTAGAGTAGTTCTAGAACAGGCCTAGATCTTTAATGATTCTCTAAATTCTAGATTTTTTAAAAAAGTGTTTCTGTTACTGATGTTCTACATGACTGGCGCAGAATATAGATTTTATACTTTTAAAAAAATCTGATCCAGAAGAGAAGCCAAGTTTATCAACACATCCAGCAAGGCTCTCCCCTGAGGATAAATACTCGAGACACAGAATCTTTACTAAGTGGCGATTTGGGCTTCTTCCCACACATCAGCCAAAAACGGTTTTATAAAAGTAGAAGAGCTCTGGTATTCAACTTGTTTAGACATTCAAGAATGTACATATCTTTAGATGTAATATAAATATTCAGCATTTCAGCGTGTGGTATTCCATGACAGTAGATTAAATGTTCTGTAAAAGCATTTTAATTTTTTTTTAAATAAATATGACATGTCGAAAAATAATTATCAGGTTTGTATTAAATTTAATAAGACGCTCTGCATTATGTATATGTAAATGTCAGAAAGAAGTATTACTATCTTAAATCTGTATTAGTCATCACAGGCCAATGATGAAAACTCTAATAAAAGCGAACATAGAAAGGTATTAAACTGACGCTGTAAATTTTTTCCCCCACTTAGTTCACCCTTTTGTTCTTGTTATGAAATTTTTTAATGTTTGAATTATGTTACAGACTAACGAACACATACATATATATGTTGATGTACGTGTTTATATTTGATAATAAAAGTAAACAATAAAAATAAAAAAAATAAAAAATTATTAATTGATTTTTTAAAAAGACATGTCGGAAAGAAGCATTAATTGTAAATCTGTTGGGTCGGCTGGTCGAGTCGGTAAAGCTCATGGTTGCTAAACCGAAAAGTCTCGAGTTCGAACCCTAGGGCAGATGAGGCTCGTTAGCTGGGGACAGCCACTCTTCTAGGACAGACAATTCCAAAATCAAACAACTGCTGCCTTGTAGTTTGTTCTTGCTTGGACAAAGGCTATGGAATCAAATCCAAAAAAAAAAAGCAGGCTGAAATCTGAGTCAATGGCCTCAATGGCGCATAACCAGTTGACACGTATCCTTAATTGTGTTGGATGCGTGGTCGAGGCCGCAAAAAGATCATGGTTGATAAATTCGAAAAAGTCTCCAGTTCAAAACCCACTGGCAGATAAATCTCGATCCCTTTCAATACTAAAAATTAAGAACGAAGAAGAAGAAGTAAACCTGTACTCACAAACTGATTTTGAAAACTATAATACTAAAGGGAACACGGCAAGGCGAACGTGCGGTGTAAATTACACGTCTGAGCCGGGCCGGCGATACCTATAAGGCGATCTAGGCAGTCGCCTAGGGCGCCATCCCTAAGGGGGCGCAAAAATGTTTAATAGCTACTATCAAAAGTATCTATTAATTAATAGCTTTGATTATCCTTTATAAACTATAGACGGTACTATAGAAAGGAGTAGCGATCTATTTCGGCGCCCAAGACGAACTATAAATTTTGCATCCCCACCTCAAAATTAGGTCTATATAGACCTATATTTATTCGCGATTTAGTGATTGCTCCAGCGCATCACGGGGCGTTCCAAAACACGTGCAATTTTGGTTTTTAATATGGCGTGTAAGTCTCGTTTTCTCTGACTTTGAATTAGAAATCTGTTCTGGTGAAAAGGGTTTTGTAATGACGGGGTGTTCAAAATATTGTACTTGTTTGGTAAGTTTTGATGAATCGTTTAAATTTGGGAGTAACGGCGGAAGGCTGTTGCTGATATAGTTTCGTAGGTACAAAGTATCTAAGTGTTAAAGTGTCGTATTTTTTATTCTGCTGTTGTGTATTTGTAGATCCAGTGGAGTCTGATTGGTAGTAGAGAATGTAGGTCATGAAGTATCGTTTTTTTTTTGGAGTTCGGGAGTATCGAGTCTTGTGGTATTCAGGTATCGAATTGAGTTGACTGTTAACGTGTAGTAATAGGTCCAGTGAACTCGTTGTTGATTTGGAGTATCGTTTGTAGAGCTTGGTAAAGTTAAGCGAGTTGGTGTCGTAGTTCTGGAGCATCGAGTCTAGTTATGTTTAGGCATCGTGTTGTGAATGCAGTAGAGTATATCAAGTAGTCGAGCTTATTGTAAGATAGATTATTTCAATTCAGGATGAACACACTACACAGAAAGGTCGGCGTTCTCTAGGTAAAAATCTTTAGTTTGGAATGAATGAATATTACCACTCCTAAAGTATTAACATATAATATTATAAAGGCTAGAATTTATAACTAACCGTAAACTTTGTTCTTTTCAAATAATATTTTTGTTTATATTTAATCAATAAATTATTGCAATATCTTAAGTGGCTTGCCTATTTGATTATGTGAAAGCGTCCCTTTATTTAGGGGATCCAAAATTAATATGCTAAAAATGAATTAGTTTATGCAAGAAGATGTATGTCATCAAAATTGACTAGAAGTATGTTATAATAAAGCTACCGTCTTTAGACTTTCAAACAAAAACCTACAGTTAAGTATTAAAGGAGTAAAACATATTCTTTTGACACGATTACATAGGTAATACAAAAGATATTTTAAATTATTACCAAATGAAATTTAGAGCGTGTTATTGTGTTTTTCAAGAATGTCTTAGTTACATTTGGTTTACTTAGTTATTCTCGTGAAAGTTATTTCCCTTATATAAAATGTTGGTATTTGGATTTCAAAATGGGAGATAATTCATCGCTTAACTTTAACTTTACATTCATTTCAAATTCATGCACCTTAGGTTGATATATATATATCCATATATCCATATATCCATATATCCATATATCCATATATTCATATATCCATATATCCATATATCCATATATCCATATATCCATATATATTAAGTGAAGATTTGGAATTTAAAAGGCCTCAAAATTTTCAAGGATAGTATTTTCAAATCGAACGACAATGACTAAAAGTCTGGAAACCGCCGCCTTAGTTAATCCCATCTACATTTCAGCCGTTACCTTAATGCCGGCCACCAGGTTCCGTTCTGCGACAAAGGAACCGTTGTTGACAGCCTCCTGTTTCTCGGCCTCAGAGGCCCAGTCCAAGTCCAGCGATGTCCACTCATACACTAGCCTAGACTCGCCAAAGGTCAAGGCTTGTGGGTCACTGTGTGAGATTAACCCGGTGAAGGCGAGATAAAACCACGCCACGCTCCAAATCAGATACATTTTCTTGTATTGGTCGATGGTATCCTGTGGATATAATGACAGAATGAGAAGAATGGTACAATAGCAATTTAAACGACATTCTATCAACCTGCCGGCACGACATTCTATCAACGTGCCGGCAGGACATTCTATCAACCTTACGGCACGACATTCTATCAACCTGCCGAGGCGTAGCGACCCATTCCGGGGCCCGGGGCAAACTATCAAATTTCCGCCCCTACCTGGTATAAAAAATATAGTTATTCTCGTTGGCGAAAATGGGCCACCCCACTTTTGGGCGCCTTAATAATTTTATCACACAATTGATTTAGATAACGTTTAATTAAAAAAGAGAACAAAGTATAGTCTATTTCCTGAACTTTGTGAATAATGCAGTAATGCAGCTTAAAATTAGCTTTTTGATTTTTGATCCTACCCAGTTTGGCGCCCCCTCAGGGTCGGCGCCCGGGGCGGCCGCCCCACCCGCCCCCTTAGCTACGCCGCTGTCTACCTGACGGCACGACATCGTATGAAACAGCCGGCACGAAAAGATATCGACTTCCCGGCACGTTATTCTATCAATCTGCCGGCACGACATTTTTCAAACTACCGGCACGACATTTAACCTGCCGGCACGTCATCTTATTAATCTGCCGGCACGACATATTATCAACCTACCGGCGCGACATTCTATCAACCTGCGACATTATATCAACCTGCCGCACGACATTCTCTTACATCTTGTCTGCAGATCAACCTGTTATCCTGCCGTACGACAATAACTCGCCGACACGACATTCTCTCAATCTGCCGGCGCGACATTCCATGAAACTGCCTTCGACGTTTAATTAAGAACCAAAGTATAAACACGCTTGTTAAAGAAAATATTTCTTCCGGAATAAAAGTTTAACTTACCGCGTGTTTAGATCCACCTGGTATTAACGTAAGGGTTAAGTGAACTAACTTTAACAAACTCCAAACATTCACAATACGTACAGCAGTACCTGTTATGATGAATGACATGGCGTTATCGTTATCGGTCAGCATAGCGTCAGGCCTGTCTGGATACTCAAACGGTTATCTGCCCTTGTTAGGGTTAGTGGGGGGGGGGGGGGGGGGAATGTTGTGTGTTTCTGTAGACAAGACTTGTTTTTTTTTAATGACGTCGCTAGTGAGGATACTGAAGGGGGGGGGGGGGGTGATAACGTTTATATTGCATGATTTGTTATACCCGATAACGGCTTGGGTCATACGCGCTGTCACAATATGGGTCATATAGGGTTTCTCGTGTTTCCCTCTTTGAGTTTTAAAAATAACTTTTTTTTTTAAATCTGATATGAAACATACCGAAACATACGTCTATCGTTAATTCAAAATACCTGGTTCAATAACAACTGTTATACTACAACAATTTGTGAATGTGCCTTGGGTTTCACGGGGGGGGGGGGGGGGGGGGGGCTCTGAAAAATTAACTCAGTCAAGTTTAAAAGGCCTGTCCCAGTTGATCTTCTATAAAATGATTAGTTATCTTTTGGGAGAGGGGGGGGGGAGACGGGGTTTTTTTTTTTTTTAAAAACGTGATATGGCGTTTAATGTATATGTTATGGATGCTAAAGTCAAAAGTAACTTTCAATATCGTTTACAATTACAATCGTTCCTAGATATAAAAATACTCTTCGAGTAAGATGGCTACTAATTGCAGTAGAATACATTAACTACTTGCAGTAGAATTGATTACATTAACTAAATGCAGTAAAATTATATATATATTATAAATTATTATAATAACTAGGAAAAAAGTACAATATAATATAGATCAGAGCTATCAAAATAGACACTTACCTCTAAAACTGATAGAGAACACCTTCAACAAATCTTACGAGTAAAAAAAAAGAATGAACTTACCAGTACAAACACATCTAATTTCTACAACGAAGTTTCAAAACGGCCCAGACCATGTTGTCGAGTTAGTGTCGCCATGACATGGATCTACTGGATCTACTTACAATGTTAGCGGTAGGAAAAATTTTGGTCTCACACTGTCGCCGGCGTACTAGGTCAAGGTCAAGTCAATGCGCACGTGTTTCGACTGTTGTAAACATGTTGCAGACGTTTAGCAGCAACTCTGTTGAATTGCTAAAAGATGTAATTTCGCCCCCCCCCCCCCCCCCCGAACGAAATAAAATTTATATAATTTATATAGAAAATATATACTTTTAACAGTGTCCGCCCCCCCCCCCCCCCGAAGATTTCAAGTGCCCCAGAAAAAAGTCTGGAAGAAACACTGGCTTGAACACCCCCCTCTCTCCTACTAATCCGCTTGTGACACTCAGACACGCTTCAAATTTTGTAACCGTGTTGAGATCAAATTTGTGTATACGTTTAAATAATGGTGGATTGCGTGTGCCCGGACGCTTGATTTTACGTTCTGTTGTTGTGATTTAAATAGAGTAGGGAGATGGGGATGTAGTGGGGGTGGTGTGGGGAGGATTGAGGGTAGGAATGCTGGTTATAACTGAACGAACAATTGTGACTAAATCCCGGAGAATTTCGTTCAGGGATTAGTCGGGGTCATCAACATTAATACAATTCCTAATGGGTTAAGCAATGAGTGGTATCTGGTCTGAGGTAAGTTACCCGTAGAGGGGTTCCTACAGGGTTGGAGGGGACAGTAGTAGATGAAGGCTATCATGAAGGATAGTGAATGGTGGTGTGGGACTGTGAGTAGTGGTCGGAGAGAGTGGTGGAAAGTGGAGGAATAAAGGTGAGTACGTTCTACCCCCCCCCCCCCTTGCGACGTCCATATCAGCGCCATTGTTGTAACTTCACCTGGTCTCATCTTTAACATATGCCCCAATTAGCGCCATCTTAGCACAGTGAGTGGTTTGTTGTCATACACACATGTGTTACCGAGTAGATACTAGATGTGTTTTTACCTCACAGTGATAGTTCATCTACAAGTTGTGTACAACTGCATTTACACCTTTTAGACACCTGGTACGTGTCACGCAACTTCTACACATGTTGGTGCGTATAACAATCCATCCACACATGTAATCCCTAAATACGCCAAGCCCTGAAATGTAATGCACAATATATGTGATTCATATTGATTCATATTGATTGCTTAGTAACACAGCTTTAAAGTAGGGCAGATTAGTGTGTATCGCATCAATACGATAGGTGCTGAAGAATTCATGTTTTATCGGCTACGACTTATGATTGGATTATGTAGCTAGTGCATTATTGTTTTAGATGTTTTTTCATCAAAGCTACCTGATAGATACCTTATGGCTTTATGAAGGCTACAGATTGCTATTTAATGGTTTATACGAATGCTACATGAACGCTAAAGAAGTAATTAGAATCAACAATAGCCAGAAGGCCCCAGTAACAATAGACGGAAGACATGTAAATGATGTGGAAGAGTTTGTTTACCTTGGCAGCAAGATCAGCAAATCGGGAGGCACAGAGGAGGACATACGTGCTAGAATTAATAGCGCCCGCTAAGCTTTCACAGCTCTGCGACCCATATGGACAAATTCTGCCCACTCCAACATAAACATTTTTAGGATACTTAACTCAAATGTCAAGGCATTAATGCTATATGGAGCAAAGACATGGAGAGTCTCTAAGGCAACCACAGAGAAGATACAGACCTTCATGAACACACGCCTTAGACAGATTTTGAAATGATGGTGGCAGGACAAAGTACAGACTTAAGGAGAATGGTTAGGCAGGAGCTTATGACAGTGCAAATAAGAAGAAAGAAGTGGCTCTGGGTGGGACACGAGTTTCTTCAAGGCATCTACCCCCCCCCCCCCTAACGAAATGGAATTTATATAAAAAAATATACTTTTAACAGTGTCCGCTTCCCCCCCCCCCTCCCCCGGAGAAAAAAGTCTGGAAGAAACACTGGTGGGACACACCACACTGCGAAATGCTCACTCTAACCTGACACGCCAGGCGCTTGAATGGAACCCCCAGGGAAAGCGGAAGAGAGGACGCCCAAGACAAACCTGGAGAAGGAGTCTTCTCGAGACGGCAAAATTAATAGCCGGGGATCGGACAAAATGGAAGGTCATGGTTGAGGCCCTATGTTTCACAAGGAGTAAATAGAACTAAGTCAAGTCACATGAACGATACCTAATAGTGTGTTTGAAGTGTTTGAAGGCTTAATTATGGCTCCCTAAAATCGATATCCTATTATTTAATTAAAGTGTAATTAACTTATTCATCTATCATGAATATTTCTAATTTCATAGAAATATATAAATAAACGTTTTAAGGATAGCCTCCTTGTTTAAGTCCTAAATTGTATCTACCCATCAATGGGATCTGTTACACTATGGGATTCCCCAACCATTTCTAACTACGTATAGGTTTATTAACCTAACGTATCTACAAGAAGCCTTCACTCGATATAGAAGTAGAGTACATATAACAGCTGCATTTAAATACGTGAAGAGAAATCTGTTAAGCAATTGAAAACATTATTAATGTATTCAGAACTTATCAGTAATTAAATATTCATGAAGTTCGATGCTGAATTCTTAATTGTATTTGCATTGCAATCTATATGCATGCACTTTCTGTTTTAAAATAACGGCTCACGTATGGGATGACAGCTGACACATATTTCTAGACTCGATCATTATCTTCTTCTATAGAATCGATACCTAGAAATCTACGTGATATAAAAGAGAACGGTACCGAATACGACGATCACGCGGTAATGGTCGATACTCGTGACGATCTTCACGGGTATAGCAAACAATAAATATTGTTTTATCTCGGTAAAAATTGCTGCTCCTACTTTTGTAGAAACACAACATGATCACGTGATAGGTGAGCCATATGTGTACATAGTTAATTGGGTGGGTGTGCATAAATTAAGACAGTTATTAACTCTAATGAGTAATCAATGTGTTTGTTTAATTTTTCATAAAGGATTTGAAGAATGATGAAATTTTTCAAATTATTACAACAGATAGATGTCTTCTCCTATATAAAATGTATTTTTCTGAATTTTCCAGAGCTAAATTACAGCCTTTCAAAGATGAAACTAAAGACAAGGGATGATATTAAGTATAATCTTCTTTAATCTCGATATCTTATTTTCAGGTAACAACCGATTTCTTTACGAGGTTCTATGGTGGCGTTTTGTTTTTTTAGTTGTTTTGTGGCAAATTATTAAGGAATTTTTTATCATGATCGTTTTTAAAACTGTACCTGTAATTTAAATTTAAAATATATATTTTATATTTATGATTTTTATTTTATTTTATTTTATTTTTATTTTTATTTTATTTTTTTATTTATTTATTTATTTTTAATTTTTTTTTTGTTGCTATCACAGAATGAGTCATGGAGAATACAAGCTGGACAACGCTTTCCTACCAGAATACGACACTTTCCTACGAGACTACGACACTTTCCTACGAGACCACGACACTTTCCTACGAGACCACGACAATTTCAGTCAGAACGTCTCTAATAGAATCGGATTACCTAGTCGTAGTGGGAGTTATCTGCCTTATCCGAGGAGTTCTCTCACTGCTGGGATGTGTTGGAAACGTCATCAATTTGGTGACCTTCGTCTCTATGGGTCTGGGGGACGGCGTCACCGTTTCCTTCCTGTTCCTGTCGGTCTCCGACCTTGCCTACCTCGTCACCGTCACGGCAAGCTCCGTGGCTTTCGATTTCGTCATCGCGGAATCCGTGGAGAGTTTCGCCGTGTCGTTTCCGGTCGATCCTTTCGGGGTGTACGCGATTTTCGTCAACGTCGGCAGCGCACTGTACACGATAACCTTGCTGACCACGACCTTGTTGTCCGTGGCCCGATGTTTGAGTATTTCCAGGCCGCTGCAGTTTAGGCACAGTTTCACGAGGCTTAGAATCATCGTCACGTTAAGCCTAGCATCCGCTGCTTCCATAGCAACGGTGGTGCCGCTTTTAACTTACATGGAGATAAAGACTCAGTTCGATTCTCGAATCAACGCCACAAGACCGTCTTTAGCCATTTCGCCTCGACGGAAACAAGACTACCTGTACGCTTTTCGGGACGCTATTCTCCCCTTAATCGCTGAATTTATTCTAATCATCTGCGTTTTCGTTATGCGGAAGTGTCTACAACAGTCGATAAAGTTTCGCCAAACAAACTCGGCCGGAATTGAACCTGAAAACACGTCCAAAAACACGACAGATAAAAGTAACAATGACCCCCACGTCAAGGAGAACAGAGATAAGACAAAATTCAGCGGGAAAGAGTTGCAAGTCATCCAGCAGATGATTCTCATCTCATCGATTTTCATCGTCTGCAACTTGCCCAAAATCCTGGTCAACGCCGTCGAGATTTTCTTACCTGGGTTCACGTTGGGCGGGATGTACCGTAGTTTTTATTTAATCTTCAACATCTTCAGGGACCTGTTCCAGATATGTATCTCCGGCACCAACGTTTTCATCTACTTCCGGTACAGTTCAAAGTTCAGAAAGTGCTGCCTCATTACAAGACTCAGAAACGGCAGTACCGATACGTGACGAAAACTTCACTGATAAAAAAATGAAACGGATGGTCTAGGGGTAGCGCGTGTGAATATCAACCAGAATCTTGTGTCTTCGGCACCTGCATTTAGTGTCGGCGCCAGGTTATTTAGCGCCCTAGGCGAAACTTATTAAAATGCCCCCTTTTACACAAATTAATTACTAAAACATATGTATAAGAAAACAATAATTTAAAAGTGACATATTAATTTATTATCAATTGCATACACGTTATCAAATTTTACTTGCCTCCTTCCTCTCAAGATTTGTACTAATTGCTTCAATTCCAGTTTGCAAGCGTAAGTCCACGAGTCTAATTTGTAATTAAAGACATTGTCCCGTCCCCCCTTAGAAAATTTTAAGTGCTCCCCCCCCCCCCCTCCGGGAGAAAAAAGTCTAGAAAAAAAAACACTGAAAAAAAAAAGTTCTCGTAGTGTTGGGCTCTCTGCAATCCTCCCAAGGTGAGTTCCAAAACGGCATTTACCTGTCAAATTCGCAGGGGTGGGGCCCGACAAAGAGCGATTCGGTTTATAAAATTAAAAGTCGATTGCTGATTGACACCGTTCAACTGATCGCCATGAAACTTTTGGGAATTGATTAGAACACTCCAGGGGAGGTTTAATAGAAAATGTGTTTTTAACTTCGCAAGTGCGGCGCCCCGGGATTGTGCGGTATATAAAAAAATAAAAGTCTGATGTGGCTCGACACCGTTCATCCGAGTGTGATAAAATTTTGGAGAGTAAATGAGAATACCCCCGAAAAGATTTCTGCGAAAAAATTCTTATGGACAGCGCCCGGATGGTGCGGTTTTTGTCGGCACCGGCACCTCGTCGATTTCGCGACCTGAAGAGCTCCAGGCTCACCTGCGAGCACTATGAAGCCTACGTTCTTTTTTTTCAAAAAGGCTATACACTAAAGACACGATGGGCAAAAATAATCGTTGACTTAATCGAATCAGGCTCGCCCTCCGGTGCCCCGATAATAATGATCCAAGAACAGGCATTGCTTACATTTAAATAACTCCGTTTTAGAAAACAAGGAAGTACATTGAATAAACCGGGAGTGATTTCCCCTAAACTTTCTCTAATATTCTTATACGAGAAAAATGGCCCGTTGAGGAAGGATACACCGGGCGCTAGGCTGATAGTGCTGTCTCTTTTCTCTAAACTAAAACCACCCCCCCCCCACACACACCCCCCACCCACCCCACACCCCCACACACACCACCCCCCACCCACACACACACCACTCCCACCCCCCCCCCCCCCCCCCACACCCCCCACACCCCAAAAAAAATTGTCTACCGTCCCGTTCAACGAAATATAATTATATACTTTTTCCAGTGTCCGCCCCCTCCCCGAAAATTCTACCCCCGCCACCGAAAATTTCAAGTACCCCCCACCCCTCTCCGGGGAGGAAAAAGTCTAAATTAAAACCACCCCACCCCCCCCCCCCACCCCCCACACCCCACCCACACCCCACCCACCCCTCTAAAAAAACATGTCTACCGTCCCATTCAACGAAATATAATTATATACTTTTTTCCAGTGTCCGCCCCCTCCCGAAAATTCTACCCCCGCCCCCGAAAATTTCAAGTACCCTCACCCCTCTCCGTGGAGGAAAAAGTCTGAAAGAAACACTGGTGTCGCGCATAGCCACTACGCGAAGAATTGCATTAAAGAAATTGCAAGAAAACCACTGTTTAGATTAGACACATTAATTAGGCGGTAATTTTATTATAGAGTATCGATGAGGAAATTTCTTTTGAGTTGGGGAGGGGGGGGGGGGGGCTCAGACGTTCTTACGCGGGGGTGGGGCTTCGCCCCTACCCGAAGAATTGTATGAAAGAAACTCTTCACGCAAACCACTTAGATTAGACCAAATTGCCTTTGTATTGAATGTTTACTCGATAATCAATGACGTCATATTAATGTGTGCACTATCCGGCTTGAGATTATTTTCTACTCTGTGCTAAATGTGTCGACGTCATACTTCGTTTTTCGAATTACTGTGCATGTTTTTATTTTTCTTGTGTTTTCTCTAGAGCGTTCTTGTCAGATAGATACATAGACAGACAGCGAAACTATTAGTATTAATAACTTAGAATATAGACATGATTTTTAATTACATTTAAAAATAGAATAGAATCTCATAGAAAAAAGAATTGCGCACCAAGCGAACTCCAAAACAAAATGTGCATAATAGTGCGCAATATTATTAGTACTTTATAAATTTACATGCGTTTTTTGAGAAATCGGAAATAGCGTAAATTAGTACTTCTGGTCAACGGATATTACTCAAAATTTGACAGAAGGTATAGATATAGATCTTTTACTTACATGTGAAATTTCATCTATCTATCTAAAATAGTACTCAAGTTATAGGTTTTTGAAAAAAATTTCAAAGTAGAAAAAGTACCACTTCCGGTTATCGGAAATCGCTCAAAAGTTGATTCGGATCTACGATTTGATAAAATACTTATAATTGAAATTTCATCAACCTAGCTGTAAGGGTACTCAAGTTATCGTGTTTACAAACAGACAGACAGACACACACACACACACACATACGGACAAGATTGCAAAATTATGTTTTTCCGTATCAGTGAGGTGTAAAACGTCGAGATTTGTAAAAATCTTGATTTTTTTTTTTTAAATTTTTTTGCACGATTGCAAGACTTTCTCTATACTTTGTATATACGAGAAAGTAAAAATGGAGTACTTAAATATTCTAATAGAATAGCGAGTGTTTATTGTTTTTATTTATTATTATATCGTTCATTACAGAGTGTTGCAGACTAATATTTTTATGAGTTAAAAAAGAAAAAATTTAATATTTATGCATGGAGCTGAAGAGCCGCACCTTGACATCAAAAGAACCGCATGCGGCTCGCGAGCCGCTGGTTGCCGACCTCTGAACAAGGTAATTGTTTTAGACATTGCTAGAATTATTGATTAAATATTAAAAACAAGTATAATTTGAGAAAACAAAGTTTACGCTTAGTTATAAATTCCATTTTTTTAAATATTATATATTAATACTTTAAGAGTGCTAATATAGATTTCTACAAAACTAAAGATTTTTCAACTAGAGAACGCCCACCTTTCTTTGTATTGTGTTCCGTACTGCATTGAAATCATCTAACTTACGATAAACTCGACTACACGATACAACATTCACAACACATATCAAACTTCGATGCCTAAACATAACTAGACTCGATGCTCCAGAACTACGACACCAACTCGTTTAACTTCACCAAGCTCTACAAACGGTACTCCCAATCAACAACGATTACACTGGACCTACTACTACACTTTAACAGTCAATATAATTTGATACTTTAATACCACAAGAACCAATACTCCCGAACTCAAGAACTACGATAATTCATCCCCTGCATTCTCATCTCTATATTACCAATCAAATTCCATTAGACCTTCAACTACAAAACAGCCGAATAAAAATTATGACACTTAAACACTTCGATACTTTATACCTATGAAACTATATCAGCAACAGCCTTCCGCCGATACTCCCAAATCTAAATCAGCGACCGCCTGGTTCGCCTTATAGGTAGCGCCGTCCCTGCCTGCATTGGGCCTGTACACGCCCACTATACTCCAAGCCTATAAGTTAGGAGATGTGATGACCAAGGCGATGAGTTCTGTCGGCGATGAGTTCAGTCGGCCATGAGTTCAGTCGGCGATGAGTTCAGTCGGCGATGAGTTCAGTCGGCGATGAGTTCAGTCGGCGATGAGTTCAGTCGGCGATGAGTTCAGTCGGCCATGAGTTCAGTCGGCCATGAGTTCAGTCTGCGATGAGTTCTGTCGGCGATGAGTTCTATCGGCGATGATTTCAGTTGGCCATGAGTTCAGTCGGCCATGAGCTCAGTCGGCCATGAGCTCAGTCGGCCATGAGCTCAGTCGGCCATTAGTTCAGTCGGCCATGAGCTCAGTCGGCCATTAGTTCAGTCGGCCATGAGCTCAGTCGGCCATTAGTTCAGTCGGCCATGAGCTCAGTCGGCCATTAGTTCAGTCGGCCATGAGCTCAGTCGGCCATTAGTTCAGTCGGCCATGAGCTCAGTCGGCCATTAGTTCAGTCGGCCATGAGCTCAGTCGGCCATTAGTTCAGTCGGCGATTAAAAATATTACTCGAGCCGATTACTATCACACAAGGAAGAACAGAAGTTCAAAAGTATAAAACTGCCTACATAATACTTTTCAGTTACATGATATTACAATGATGTTGCCTTGTCCGGCACATTAATTTATAAACTTGGTCTGGCTTAATAACTTAACCAAGTGATAACTTAATCAAAATCTATTAATATTTTTAACTATATTGTAAAGTGTAACAACACATGAATTTTAAATCGCCTTCCGTGCGTTAGTTGTGTAGCACACAGAGTGTTGACACACCCTAGTTTACCAAACGCCAAATGGCATTTTTTTTTCTTTGTCCCGAGCATGATGTTTCCATGGAAACGGATATCATGCCATCGCCTAGCGCATCAAAGAGAATTTCTTATCCTTCAAAGTGTCCATGACAATAGTCGTAATAGGTAGACGGTTACTTTTCTGCGTGCATTAAAATTAAAAGACTGTGGGAAATGTACGTGCCATAAATCACGTGTATGATCCACAGGACGTTCAGAACTATGAGCTGGTGGACACGTCCAGAGTAAAAGACTGAGAAAATAATGTTACATCTGTGTATTGCATTTTAAACGGCAATATTTCTTTTTTTTTTTCAAAGTGACCGGTGCAGTAGAGTTTGTCCAATGTCTTGGCATCACAACAATACATCAGACTGAATAGTGTTATTTAGTGATATATATATATATATATATATATATATATATATATATATATATATATATATATATATATATATATATATATATTCATTTTGTGTTTCATTTTAAATTTGTTCTCAACATATTTTTTTAAATGAATAAACAAACCATATCCAACTTAATATGAGAATGCCTGCAA